CTCCGAAAGGCCAGGAGTATAAATATATAAATATAATACATGATTATGAGTAAAATAGAAAGTTCTGCATTTATTTGAGAAGAATTCTAAGATTATCTCAAGTTAATAAATAACATTCCATATAACTGCATATGTAAAGAACTTAGGAATCGAGTACTGACTGAGGAACAAGCATGGGTGTTGAAATGTAACTTTAATAGCAATATGTTTGCTATGCAGAAACTGCTGGGATTCAAATAATGGGAAGATTCTAGAATTCTGAGTATTCTAAGAACAGTGTTAAGACATGAGAAATGTCTGGACACTAATGAGAAAAACTGTTTTGCAAGGCTAGCTCTAATCAGCTTTCTATTTCAAGTCCCAACCTATTATGACAAAATACTGCCAAGAATTTATCCATTTCCTCTTATCTGAAATCTTCTGGAGATCCAGCTACAGAGCTGTGAAGTACTAGAGGTAACAATAGTTTTCTGCTTTTGCAGTGATGTTGGGGACTAATTACCATTCTCTTGGGTGAGTCTAGTACAGTCTTTGTTGGTTAAACACTTGGCCAGAGTAGTTTGGACTGGACCCTCGTAAATGTAGATGACACTGTCTAGCCCATGGTGAATAGGAAGTCTTTGTAATAAAATATGTATTTTGAAAGGACCAGCTATGGAAACTTACTATATTCTTTGTTTCATGTTTGTTGCAGATGTTCTATGGTTATTTGTTTTTGAAAATGATAGGCTTGAATGCAAAATATCCTGCTGTAAAATACACTGAACAAATTTATGTTGTTACATTAACATGTACAGGATGTTTTCTTATGGATTTTGGTAACTCTTATGTTTGTGAATGATTCTGGGTGGCATGGTGTTATCCATCAGTGATAGGTTAGGTTCCTAAGAAAGAAAGTAATTCCCTTATCAGGGATTTGTAGTATAAAATGCCATTTGTGCTCTCATACAAATGCATGCACAGGGAAGGGGCATGGAAAGCTGTAAGAATAGAAGGTGAGAAATGTGGACAGGTTGAAAGAAGAATGAAAGTAGAAAATGATAGTTTTGAAAAAGATCCCAGCTAGGTAAGTAGAGTGCATTATAATTTGATTATACTTTCAATGTTATGAAGCCGTCAAGGTGTTACATTAAAAAAATGGCTTGGAAAATTGTGATGCCATCATGTTTTTCCTGCCTGATTTTCTCTGGTACTTTTCATTTTATGAGGTAAATCATAGATTGTAGAGCTGCTAGTTGACTGAGCATATAGAGAAGTTAATACTTGCAAATATTTTAAATCGAATAAAACAACCATCTATGGATTAGATGAAGTGCATTTTGACAGATGGCTCCACTTACTAACCAAAAACCTTCCCTTGAATTTCGATTTAAGGATAATTATCTTTCAAACTACTTTCACTTCTAGATGGGGGAAAAATCAGAATAAAATAGGCCATAATGTTAAATCTTGCATTTGAATGTTTTAGTACTAATGTTTGATTTTCTGCTCTATGTTCTCAACTTAGTTAATTAAATCTCAAAATTTGTAAGGCTACTGTAATTTCAGTGGAGCAGTGGCACATGTGCAGCTGTTTTGCATTCCTTCTTGGTAAGGTGGTGATATTCCAGTAAGGAACACTTATATTTGAATGAATCTGTCCTAAAGCTGACATTCCTTCTCTTGCCCCTGAAGTACTTTGTCAAAGTTGTGATGGTGCTGTTATCTGCAACTGGCACTTATTCAAATGGCTTTTTTAAAATCCACAAAATACTACTTCCAGTAAAATTGTCCATTCAGGAAGCACTAGCAGGTTTAGAGTAATCATATAAGAAATGTCTTGTGTGATCTTGTATCCCCATTTCAAAATAGGATACACTTTCCTCATGTAAATATTGCTGCCTGATTGCAGTCTTGCTACTTCTTGCTTCTATCCATTCACTCTGACTGCAAGTAATAAAAGTTTATGCATCTGTTTCCTTAGAATCAGGTTCCTTTTATAGCTAGCTTCTTTCCTCCCTTTTTGTACCTATTGATGGGTGATGTAGTCCAGTTAGGGACTACCAACTGCTAGCTCTAATATTAAAACAGAAGAATTTTGAACAATGGCATGAACAATGCAAAACTGAGAATTTGATACTGCCTGTCTAAATCTAGCCAGTCTTTGTATTTGAAATAGGAAAGAGTCCGGTAATGAATGACTGCAGGCATGAAAGTGCAGGAATGAAATGGAGGAAACATGGAAGAGCTCCAGATCTTGCAACATCTAGTCGAACAACAAGAATAGAAGGTATAACTACTAGGATGAGAAAGAGGATACTCATATTCTTATTTCTTAAAAATAGTCTTAAAAGCTTATATTAGGGTTCATCTTAATATGTGAACATAATCTAGTGGAAATTACTTATGGTTTTTACAAATAAATCCCTATAGTTGTACAAAAATATAATGTCTAGCTCAAGATCATCCTGTGACCTGCATGTATCCATATACACCTGAATTAATGTGTGTCTCTTATACCACATTGTCTCACTTAGATCAAGTCCACTATGGTCTTCAAGCTGTATTTATTTGTAAAACATGTACAATGATCATTACCTAATTGTAAAACATATGAGATGGAACCCTTTTTAAAAAATTCATAAATAGCTCCTCTACTGAATGTCAAGCTGCCACTACTTTTTAAAAAACGTATTTTATTTTCTTCCCCTTTTGAAAGAAGGGAAAAGAAACACTTCATTATCAGACTAAAGAAGCTTATTATATTTATAGCTTTTCTGTCCGATAACATACATAAATGTATACATATTATTGTTGTTCTCCTTTATGGTAGAATTATAGAAAGACATTTCTCTTACCTGACACAAAACATTATATATTTAAAGAGAGACTCAAAATAAAAAAAAAATGTATTCTTCTTTACAGAAACTACCAGAAGTTAAAATATATTACTTACAAAAAAAGATACTTTTATTTAAAATAATTGGAGCTATTCATGTTAAGACAGATATAGCAAAAAGGATATTTTTTTTGGCCCATTAAAGATTAGCAAATTTATGGTGGCGCAAATAAAATGAACCAGAATCCATTTCATCAAATAGTCTTCAGTTCACAAAAACGTATTCCATATTATGTGTCAGTCATTAAGATGCCATAAGATAGCATTGTGGTTTTGCAGAAACGTTGATTTTTTAGACAATCTGTTTTCAACTTATATTCTGCAAATCCACCAAAATCCAGTACAGTAATATGATATTAGAGAACTAGTTGGCTTTCTATTTTTTAAGTTTCAGCATCAGTAAAGGAGTCAGCTCATGTGGATATGGAAAGACTTTGCCCAGTCCGTTCAGAAGAAAGTTCTTCACCAGGGTCCTCATCTAGTCAAAGAGATCTTCAAGAGACATATGTAACTGACTTGAGCCTTTCAGATGAAAGAGTGACCCAAATAGAGAGCATACTTGATCTGTGGAGTGGCAGCCTTAAAGTAGGTAATTTTTGTATTATATGTAAAATTCTACTGGAGATAGCTTGGTTCATTGTATCTTATATCCCTGTCTTTGTTATGGAGCATTATACCCTCGAAGAAATGTCCTTTGACTATGTGCCCATACCTTTCTGTGTTTGTAAAAATAAATCTTACAAAATCAAAATTAATATAATTATGTTTAAATTTAAACTTAGCAAAAGAAAAAAATATGTGTATAAATGTTGCTGAGATCTCACATGACTGATCACAATCTGACTTTTTTAAGAAATACCAAAAAAAAAATAGTTCAGGCAATATGGAGTATAGAATGAGGAGGGAGAAGCAACATACCTTTTCTCCATTCATATCCATTGTTGTTGTGTGTTAAAATTGTTGGTCTAAGCTGTTCTTAGGTGGTTTGGATATAAGTTGGCTAGAAGGCCCTGATCCTTCCCTTCTTCTTTTTTTGGTATTGAAATTGCTTAAAATGCTTTCATTTTAAGTTACATTAAAGTAACTTTATATTTAACAGTTACATATAGGACCTAAAACTGAAAATCCCACAGAACATAGCAGAAGTTAAATAAATAAATAATATATGTACAGTATGACAATACTTTAAAACAGAGAACAGTGTTATCTTTCTTGTAATAAAGTGAATTTCACCTTACTTTGAATTTGATATAGTAACACATGTAGCAACTATGAAGTAGAGCCACCAGCTCCCTGGGTAAGTGGTTCCACTGTTGAGCTATTCTTATTGTAAAGAAGTATTTTGTAACAATTGGAACCTTTCTTCCCATAACTTAAATTCATTATCTTGTGCTGAGCACTCTGGAATGAGACAGAACAGGTATTTACTTTCTTTTTCACCTACTTCCTTTCAGGTATTTAAAGAGTATATCTCCCCACATCTGCTTTTTTCCGAGGCTAAACATACCTGGGCCTTTCAATCTCTCCTCATAGGATATATCACCCACCTACTCTGTACCTTTCCAATTTTTAGTGCCTAGAACCAGGCATAATGCTTGAAGTAGGATTTGATGAAAGCATGATGTAGAACTATTACTTCTCAATGATTATATTCAATTATACTTCTGTTGATAAAGTCAAAAAATGAATTTGTCTCATTTGCAGCCACCTTACACTGCCAGCTCACAGAGTTTGCAATCAAGTCCTATTCCAAGATTTCATTCACAAGTATGATTTCCAAGCCAGGTATCCCCCACATATACCTGTGCATATATTTTTTGTTTCCTAAATTAAAAAAATGTTGCATGTGTCTCTGTTAAATATCATTCATCCATTTCTCTAATCTATCAAGATCATTTTGAATTCCCACCCACTGTCATTTGCAAATTTATTAAGCATTTTTTTCACCTCTTCATCAGGTTATTACTAAAAATGATGTAGAGGGCTGGACCCACGACTGAAATGTGTGGCACCTCACTCCAGTTAGATGAGGAGCCACTGATGAACATTCTTTGAGCATGATTTTTGAGCCAGAAATGTAATTGCTTAATTGTCATTTCATCCAGCCTGTGCTTATTTAGCTTGCTAATTAGGTGATGGGTTACTAAATGCTTTGTTAAAGTCAACATATTAATAATGCCAACAGCATTCCTGCCACCTATTAACAAGCACTTCCCTAACTCACTGCAGCTGTTTAGAGGCCTATCTTCTTGGAACTGACTCATTTTTACTTTGTGTGTGTGTGTGTGTGTTCCTCCAAATCAGTGTTGACTCCTGACAACTGCCTGGACAAGTCCCTGCAGTTTTCTTGGCAAGATTTCGGAAGTGGCTTGTCATTGCCTCCTTCCTAGGGCTGAGAGAGAGTGACTGGCCCAAGGTCACCCAGCTGGCTTTGTGCCTAAGGCGGGACTAGAACTCAGTCTCCTGGTTTCTAGCCTCATGCTTTAACCACTACACCAAACTGGCTCTCTATTTGTACTTAGCTCCCCTGTAATACAATTACTGCATTAAACATTTTTGCCTTGTGTTTCTGATGCCTAGGTTCAAACTTTTTTTAATTCAGAAGAGTAATTACTTTTAATTAACTTTTAAAAGAGGTATCTAGTGAAGGAATTTCCATCTCAGAGAAGGCCTTTTATATTCTTTAAGGACAGTTGCTAAAAAGTTTTCAGTTTTGGATATCATCTGTGGTTTGTTCTCTTATTCTAGAGGATACCATGGTTTTTAATATCTCTGTTTTGCAGGTTTAAAAAAATATCATTGAATAGGAATTAGAAAGCTCCCTTCTACTATAACAAATGCATACCTAGAAAATGACATATTTTCAAATAACACAAGTTTATTATACCAAATGGAATATAACTGGCTGAATATTACAGAATTTTTAAAAATAAAATAAATGCAATATTTATAAGTGGATATTTTCTTGAAAAAAATATTCCAAAATACTTTATTAGTTTATTGCTGTGTAGAATATTGTCAGCTAAACCCTAGCTGCATCTTGCTTAAAAACAGGCAATTATTTTCTATTTTCAGAAAAGGATATATCATTTAACCCATCAGATTATGGAGGCTATTATTTTCTTTTTTTTAACCAAAGCAGCAAACAATTATGCAAAGGTATCATTTTCCAGAATGTTGCTACCCAATTGTCATCCATCATGTTTTGGGACCTAAATATGTTACTTGAATACTTTCCCCACAAACCAGTTGCCAAAGGGAGGCAAAATACTGTATACTTTTTTTTTCAGCACTTGCATATACCTTAATACAACACTGATAGTTAATCCATATCTTTGTCACGGAAGGTTTCTCAGAATTTCAGTGCAGCACTTAAAACAGTTGTATGTTTTAGTAAACAAATTGCTTATGTTTTTAGCAGTTAAAAGCTCAGACTGACCCTTGTTTCTCCACTAAATCATTCCTTCACTTCTCTTCAGACTAATGTTTTGACTGAGCTGAGGAAATGGAAACTTCATTTTATTGAACATCATACATTAGAAATGAGGCAAGAAAGAGAGAAACATGCAGCCCATGTGAGACAATTGACTAATCAGATGGAAAACTTGAAGGAATTGCTACATACTTATGAGATTTCCATAGGGAGAAAGGATGAGGTAACAAGTTCTAATTTATAGAAGGAATTTTTTACAAGGCCCACATTTTCCTTATTGGTTACTATTAAGAATGGCTTTGGCAGCAAATGTTTGGAGGGCCACCATTTCCCCATCCCTGGTCTATGTGCTTGATTTTAATGACCAAGTTTAAATAAATTAATTGCATAGTTAATGTTCTTTGTGCATTGTCTAATTTCTTTTTTGTTCAGGTAATTGCAAATCTAACACATGCAATTGAGAAACAAAAGGACAGGATAGAATTAATGAAGAAATTCACAAAATGGCGACTTCAGCATTTTGTAGGCAAACAAAAGGCCAGAGAAGAGGTATATATGGATTTGCTCAGTTGGATTCTTCAACATTAGAATTACTACAGTATATGTTAATCAAGATTTTTTAAAAATCCCATTTAAGAAACGGTATTTTAAAAACTGACCAGATTAACAGCTCTTCATCCTCTTTTCTATAAATAATCTATCTCAGTAAACTGTATTTGTGTTCAATCTAAACATGATATTTTGCACTTTAGGATTATGTTACAATCATCCCATGAGATCATGAACATAGAAATGTTAAAAATTTATTCATCCCTCCTGGTTTGCACTGGCAACTAAGCATAAGGCCTGAATTTTAACATGACCAATGCGGATTCAAGCTTTTGTTTGATTTCATGCTGGCAGTTATGGTTTGCTTACCACTGTATTATAGTTTGTATAAAAGTCAGTGTTTTAAAGATACTGAAATATATACCTAATACCTTTTATCCTCTTTATCGGTTCTGGTATGGTGCAACTACAGCTCAGCCAGAGTCCTGTTTTGGGAAGAGTTAAATAAACTGTACAGAAACTCAGATCTGCCTTGCTGATGTTTCTTTCCAGGTATACACAAACAGACTGGCTGATCGGCTGTATGAAATAGGTTTGTTGAAGAAAGCCTGGGCAGTTTGGCGATCCCACATTCGTAAAAAATGGAAAGAAACCATGGAAAGGGCTGTTCAGTCAAGTGCGGAATCTCTGCGTGCTGAATTGTCCAATGACTATGAAACAAAATTTCAAGCGGTAAGGAGGTTTCTAAAGAACTCTTTTCTGATGAATTTTTCAAGAGGTTTCCCCCACTTCCAATAAAGTAGAATGTAATGTAAGTCCCATTCTGTGAAAGATATTTATACCACGGTCTTGGACAGTAATGATGGGGGACTTTAATTATCAGTTCTGCTGATATACTCTGATGAGATACAGGTTTAAAGTTACAATAAGGAATGTGGGTACTTTCTATCAAATTAGCTGCCAGATTCTTTTCAGCAGAATCCTGTCCTCCTTACTGTAGATTTTCTATACTTGATTCAGTAACATTCTTGTCCAAATTAAGTCATATTGGTGATTCTTCCTCTCTCACAAATTGTAAGATCTTCTCTTAGATAACAGAAATCAAATGCACCTGATTCCATAATGGTATTTGTGAAAAAGATCTTACAATTATACTTTGTTACAAAAAAAATGAATGAGTCAGCAGTGCGGTAAGTCTCCAGAAGTGGAACTTCATCAACAAAAGTAGACTTTCCAGTGCACAGGAAGTAATAGTTCTCCTTTACTATTGGCCAAGCCCCCATCTTCAGTACTGTTTCTAGAAGGGCTCAAATAAACTGGAGCAGGTTCAGAGGAGAGTAATAGGTACAATTAGGGATTAGAAATTGAAGCATATAAAGAGAGATTGGAAGAATTAAGAATGTTTAGCCTTAAGAAGACCAATATGATAGCACTCAAGAGTGTTATCTAAATTAGACAACAGCTGGTTTTGACAATACTTCATTTCAGGAGAAAGGCCCCATAGGATTTACTTCCAGGAAATTTTAGATAGGATTGTAGGCTAAAGGTGGCTTTTCCTCCATTGACAATAACCAGTACTTCCCCCACCAGATGTCTTATCAGCCAATCAGCACTTTTCTGTTCTGCCTTAGCCTCATAAGGCTGAACTGTCCCCTTTCCCTCCCCACAGTTGCATCTGCAATTCTGATCTCATCCCTGCTCAAGAAGGTTAGGGAAAGACCAATTCTGCTGATTATCTGCCCCACAAAGTACAGCAAAAGGACAAGGAAACAATAGGCAGGCTAAACTTCTAGATTCCTTTTGAGTGCCTGACTGAGCCTCATCCTCAAGAGGGAAGGGAAGCCATTATTTCACTGCATCTTTAAGGGGCCTCAGCATCAAGCATTCACCAAGATATTGCAAACAATTGTAAACATTGCTGTCATTTCTTAGAGTCAGTGCACCCTTGCACTTATCTTTCTCGGCTTACTTCCCCTTCCTAGGCTTCTAGATTTTATTAAAATTATTTCTGTAAACCATTTCATGTGTACTAGGCTGAACTAGCTAGATAACAGCCTGATAGCACTCTTCAAATACCTGACAGTATGTCACAAAGAAGGTCACATGTATCCTCCATTCTTCTAGACTGGAGACACAAAATAATGGATTTAAATTATAGGAAGGCGAAATCCAAATGGAAGGTAAAAACTTTCCTAACACAGCAGCTCAACAGTGGGCCAGTTACACAGAGAAGTGGTGGGCCTTCCTTTCATTGGTGGGTTCAGGGAGAATCCATACAACTGTCTCTTAGAGTTTCTTTAATTTGGATAGTTCCATTTTACTCTCCAGTAAATTTTTATTTTTATGTCCAGTCCTGGGTGCCATGTTTAAAGAAGAATTTCAGACAAACAAGAATAGGTTCAGAGCAGGGTGTGAAGGTGATCAGGAGATTAGAAACTACCCAGAGAAGTGGTAGACTGACCTTTACTACATGTGTTCATGCAGAGATTAAGCAATGGTCAGGAGTGCTTCAAGTAGTTTTGTGGACTGAATTGGGATTGGACTAAATTGGTATTTCCAACTCTCTGATTCTGTAAGTTTCATTGGACCTGTGATATAAAGTGCTTGAATCTTCAAAACAGGTGTAATGAAAGCAAGAATTTTAACAACCAAGGGGGTTGGAATGTCAAAGTCTAAGGAGATTTGAATTTGGAGAAAATTCTATGGAAAATATTTGAAAAAAGAATCTATAAAGCAAAACTATACAGAATGGAAAAGTGTTTGGGGCATCATAAAACATACAGGAAAAATGTTTGCTAACAAAATCTAATAGGACTGGATTTCTTTCTATCTCAGATCCTGTAAGTCATCATTTGGGGATAATGTGTTAAACTCAGCAATTGTAGGTTGAATGCTTCAACCGTTTGATGGTGTCTTTAGATACTGGAAGTACCATAATGTATATAGTGGAAAGCATAATCATAGTTCTCCTTGTGCATGTGGGAACGGTATCAGTAAGAATATTGTCCAATTGGAACAATAAAATATTCCTTATGATAAAAGTTGTTCCTCTTGCCTCATATAACATAAAATATTGTTATATGATGTTGAATCAATGTAATATGCAGGCTTCCATGGCATCTTTAGGCAGAAAACACAATGCAGGCTCAAAATAATACCACAGTTTTGTTATACTAAGATGTTTTTAGTCATTTCAGCTGTGTGCTAATTGTATAAGTTTTAATATCAGTCAATTATAACTGATTGACTGATATAACAGCATTTTTTTCCCTAAATAATTTTCTAAACCTGGAGCCTTCTAGTGTTTTGGAACAAAACACTATCCTTCGCTATCAACCAAGTTACCTGGGGCTTATGAGAATTGTGTGTTCAACTTTGGGAAGGAGCCATTCTGCATGAGCTCATCCCACTTACCACTGTAGTCACGCCATTGCTGTAATATACATAGAGTAATGTCCGTTTCATCTTCTTTTAAAGCACTGAACATTGTACCCATTCCCCACAGCAGCTAAGAAACAGAAATTTATTGTAACTCAGTGTTGATTGCGTGTTTAACTTTTCTTTTCTTTAAAGGAGCCAATTGACTGAAATCTTCCCTCACCCTAATCTTTTATAAAATTTGCTAAGTCATTGTAATTAATTATAAATGTTTTTATTTCTTGGTTAGTTAAATGTCGCACTAGAGGAAACCAGATCTGAACTTATTGAAATGCAGAACAAAAGACAAGATTATGAAGATGCCATGAAAAAGGCCTTCATGCGTGGTGTCTGTGCACTGAATCTGGAAGCAATGACCATATTTCAGGGCAAAGACTTCAAATTTGACCCTGGTTAGTATTATAAGGGGAGTGAAAGTTTATTAGCATGCTGGCCCTATGTCAATGAGTAATCTATGCTAGCTTCTCTAATGTGGTGTTCTTCAGGTGTGTTAGGACTACAGTGCCCAGAATTCCCAACCAGTTGGAAAGGCTGAACTGATGTAAATTTTTCAGAATGTTTTCTGACCACAAAAATACAGCATTTTTCTGGAGCAGTAACAATGTTGCCTTGGGGTTAAGATGTCAATTAAGTAAATAGGGATACTTAAGATCTGCTCTAAGTTCCATTTTTGTGCTGGAAATAAATGCATTTTAAAAACTTTGTGGGGTGTAACTGTAGAGAAAACTATAACTCCTACAAATAACTCTGAGAGAACAAATCAGTACTTTTTTCCTCCTCCTTTTCAACCATGTTATCACCTTAATTTTGCTTCCTTGAAACAAAGGAAGTTTCCTTTTTTCCCAATTCCAGAGAAATTACTTTCTTCTCAAGTATATTGCTTTTTTTCATAGATTTGTGATTAAATAGCTTATCATGCTGTTAGCGTAGCTCTAAACATTCTGACTTTCTCCTTCAAAAACTACAAGTAGCCCTGCTTGAATCAGGCTTGATGGCTTGAAGAACAGAATCAGGAATGCTTTGAATTCAGATTAACCTACTTCATATATACTATATTAAGCTATAGTTTGTTTAACTGTGATTTCTTATATATACCACTGTTGGCTGGATTTATTCAATATGTTAAACCATAAGACATCGTTTCTAAATCACAGTGACTCTGTTTATATTCTAATCAAACCTACCACAATATGACTTAGTGAGAACCATGAAAAAAGTGCATGGAAATGAGGCCTGTGCTGTCCTTTGGATTAAAAGGCAAGAACAAGGTACTTCAGAATGTGTGGGGATACTAACATAGCATCCGTCTGCAAACAGGTCTTTCCCAGGACTGTGCTGCAACTGCAGAAGGTAGTTGTGCAGTTCTGGGAAAAGACCGCTACTTTAAGGTGCCATGTTTGCACCCTTGCATGCTCTGAAGCATTTTTTTGCCATCAAATTTAAAGCATAGCCCGAATGGAAAGTTCCAGGACTCCTATGCATTTGAGGATGCTAAAAGGTTTAGTGGGTTATTTTGTAATCTAATTAATTAAGGATCAAATGGAACAATGGGTGTCTGGTCAGCTGTAAGGCTTATCCTAACTGTGATTCTCAAAATTCAAGAGCATGAGCTTTTATTCCTCCACAATACTTGGTTTTGCACGTGCATGATATAAAATAGCCAAGGCTTATTGGATCTCATGTTGTGACTCAGTGCTTTGCTTTTTTATTTCTCTTCGTAAGGGAAGATTTTTAAACCTGAAATAATTAATTTACCACAAGGTGGCACTCTAGTACTTCATAATGTTCAATGGCAAGAGTTCCGTGTGTGTGTGTATGTGTTTGTGAACATGGACACTCTTGCTTTCTTTAAGGCTATGCCTCAAGGCTGCTTCATGTATGAGAGCAGCCACATACTTTACTGTGTCTTTATACGCATGCCATAGTTGATGCCAGAAGAATAAGAAATACCTTAGAAAAGGCAGTTGTTCCTACCAGACATCCTACTTGTAGGAAAACATGACACTTTGACAGTTTGTAGATGGAATTTGAGCGAAGATTATATTCCTCCCCATATACTTCAAAGGACCTTATGGGAAAGCTATCTTCTGACTGAAATGCTAATATTGCTAGGTGTAGTTTAGACCTGGACTTTGGACCCTAAAATAAAGTAAAGCTTTTTGAGGAAGTATTCCTCTGGAAGCTTGGCTGATTTGCATGAATCATTAAAACCAGACTCTGTATATTTTGTCCTGAATCTATTTTGTAGTGCTGTAAGCAATTATTGAGTCTTTTGAATTTGCCTGGGTCTGACAGCCTGTTAAGTGTTTTATTAATAAATTGGATGGCTCTTTTATAAACCTGTATGTGATTTGTGTCTTTACATTCCTTCCTACGTAATAGTTTTCCAATCCCAGGAATAGCCATTCCTCCATCTTTCAAGGAACACCTACTGAGTGCTGCTTAATCCGAAATTTATCTCCTCTGGAAAGATGTTGTATTGATCCTGAAAGTTTATCCACTTCTCCATGAAACTAAACCACAGTATTTTTAAATGTGACTACTCACCTAAGCATATGTGTCCTGCCTTTAGGCCAAATCATTTCCCCCTGCCCCAATAGCTGCCCCTTTAAAACTATGTGTGTACATCTGTGTGTGTGAAAAACAAATTCTGTGTCAAAATAGCAACATTAAAAACATAGTGATAAAAAGGAGGGGGAATACAACATAAACGGTCACTCATGCCCTGGTCACCTCCGGGTTGGACTACTGTAATGCGCTCTACATGGGGCTATCCTTGAAGAGTATCCGGAAGCTACAGCTGGTACAGAATGCAGCGGCGAGGACAGTTCTTAATGTCCCTAGGGGGGC